CACATCCACTATCCAGACTTTTTTGTCTTTCTTATCGACAATTGTTAACTCTGGGGTGTTATGTTGCAGGTGCTTGGTCTGTTTGAATTCTGAAGTCCCAGAGCAGTTTAATTTTATCATTTTCTATGACTTTCTCTATTTTATGATCCCACCAGTTTTTGCTTACAGACAAATGATATTTTTTGCAGATCTTCCAATGCACCATTGTTGCTACTTTGTCATGCCGCTGCTTGTAGTCAGTCTGTGTAATCTTCTTGCAACAGCTTACCAAGTGGTCCACTGTTTCTTCAGCTTCTTTGCATAGGCGGCACTTACTGTCTGTCTGTCTGTTGTTGTTGTTGTTGTTGTTATTATTATTATTATTTTGCTGCAAATTAGTATGAAGTTAATTTTCCAATCTTATTCCACATATGGGATGTATGTTTTTTTTAAACTCCAATCATTTCCTCTAGAACATGCTTTATGTAACACTGCATGAATGACCTGTGGAACCTAAATTTAATTATAATTAAATTTAACTAGACTAAATATTAACTAAATTTAATTACAGCTGTTGCATTTCCACTTTTCTCCCTGTACAGCCCTAGATGTTCCCCATGGAATGGAAAAAGAGAAAAAAAATTCACAGCTCTTAGATGTTCACTCACCTGGTTTTAGAGCCTTGCATAAGGTTCTATATATTTTTCAGATTCCTATCCAGTTGCCATCTCTTCTTGATTAGGTTGCTCAACTGATTCCAGCTGTGACTAATGTTATCTTCAAAAGGTAAATAAAACCTGAGCTGATTATTGCTGTAAACCTTGGTCCTGAAACACTCTCCATTTGGATTCTAAAACCTTATTCTGTTGTTCCATAAAACAAATCCGGAATACATAAACCCAGGTAGCTGATTGGTTCTTCATCAGCCCCATCAATTGTCTCTCCATCCAGTCCTTTTTAACTGAAAATGATTCTTCTTAAGCAGAGATCTCTCCTAATTATTATTTATGCTCTAATTCCTAACTAGGAATGAATAATTCTATCCATTTTGTTTTCAGTAATTCATTTCACTTATTCATTGAAATTTCTGTTTAGTATGAATCTGGCAGGAGGTTCATTTGCCTGGGATTTTAATATATACTTTTGTATACAAGTGGTGATGTACATGTTTGTATAACACTTTCCTAGATCATGCACAACATCATAGCCAGCATAATCTAATGTATATGTTATGGTGTGTGTTTATTTTGCCTAGCCAGGCAAATTACAGAATTCTGAAAAATAGAATTCACTGGGATATAAGAAGGAAGGAAAGAGTATTTATTTATTTATTTATTCATTCATTCATTCATTCATTCATTCATCAATCATATGGCAAAAACATTAAAAAAGCACATCACAATTACATTCTCATGAGCAAATATGAAACCATTTACTCTATTTTCAAATTCAAAGGTAAACTATATTACATGATGAAGTTACCTGCAGAAAGTCTCTGGGGTTTCCCTGATATGCGCTCAGAGGGCATTATTCCACAATATGTTGCACTGACTACTTTGGTAAGGTGACCAACTTTTTTACAGTGAAAAGGAGGACACAAATAAATTGAAGAAAACAATATTGTAAATAAAAGAAACATTTTATTCATTGCAACAATAATACAGAATACACTATAATATGATAAATGCATAATAAAAAACATTTGTAACAATAACATTTTATATTTTAATTATGCTTACATGCCGTGCCCCCGCCCGCAGCTGCCCCACCAGCACTGCGGCCCTGCCGTGTAGAGCAGGCCCGATGGCTCCCAGAGCACCAGCTATGCCAGCTCCGGCCCCAGGGGGCAGTCCGCCATCAACACACCCCGCCTGCAGTCACCTCGCCCACCCTGCACAGCCCTGTGTAGAGCAGGCCCCACAGCTCCCACAGCACGGGGGGGGGGGGCAGCCAGCCACCGCCGCTCCTCACACCCCCACCTGCAGCAGCCCCGCTGCCTCTGCCTCTTGCGCCCGCAGCCATTATTGCCCTAGCAGGGCCGAAGATCAAGAGAAAGTTACCATGGCATCGCTGCTCCAATCTCCTCCAGGTCTCTTTGGGACTAACTAGGAGATAGTGTAGTTGGAAAGCAGGGAGGGGTGCAAGTTCCTGCCAATTTGCCTTTGCTGCAGACAACTTACATGTGCAAAGTTTGCTGGCCGGGTGTTTTGGCGTGCTCAGCAGCAATTCCTATTGGCTTTCGAAAGCCAATAGGGGGAGTAGCACAGCTCATGCAAAAGTTGAAAAAAAAACCATCAAAAAAAGGTGCCGGAACGCCGTTCTGAGTGTTCTATGAGAAAAAAAAGCCGTGCAGATTAGTCTTCAAATATCAAAAAGAGGACATGTAGGAGGACACTTTTTGAGGGAGGACAGAACTTAAAAAAGGAGGACTGTCCTCCCTAAAAGAGGACGGTTGGTCACCTTATACACCACAGTTACATTCCAAAGATGAGAGCTTTTCTCATTTATGGAGGAGACTAGCATTAGTGGACAAGGACATATGGACAAAGAAGAAGCCTCCCCGAAGAGTCCTATACTTGGGCGTCAGTTAATTCTTCCACAATGGCAACCAGAGAATCCTTGTCATCTCCAGACTTAAAACACATCACTATGGGAAGATAAATCACAAACACACTTGCAAGATTCTGTAATTATCATCTATCTCACTAAAGTATATTTCTAGTCTTCCAATGAAGCCTTTTTTCTGGTCTGGTCTACCCTGAATAGCTGACAGTCTGCTCTTGAATCAAAAGTATATTCAGTAGTGAGATTCAAATATGTGAACAACTGGTTCTCTGTGTGGATGCCACTTCCGGAAGTCCATTCTGGGCCTGGGCAACAAAAAATTAGCTACTGGTTCTGCTGAACTTGTGCAAACCAGCTGAATCCCACCACTGAATATATTTCAGTGCATTCATTATCTTAACACATCTGGAAAGCACCTATCTGATGGGCACTAGATCTAATACTCAGGTTATATCATTGCCTAGGGCATTTAACCTCCCCCCCCCAATGTGACACAATCCAGTTTATCCAAATCAGTTTATCTTAATTTTGGGAGGAAAATACTATCATTAATTGGCATTAATGAATTAATATAAATAATTATATGTTTAAATCCAAAGCAGTCAAAAATTTTCCATGATACCAGTGAAATGCATATTGCATCCACATACCAACTGCCTAGATTGGAGCTTACTTCTTAGATCAGACACTTGGGCATTTCAAGGCAAAAGACCTTCGTCTAAGGCAGAGGTGTCAAACTGCCGGCCTGTGGGCCAGTTTCATCATACGGAAGCCGCGCCCACCCCATTGCCAGCAATGGAAAAAAGTCATGACACGTCGTGTGACATAGTGAATTTGACACCCCTGGTCTAAGGGGCAGGAAAAGTAAAAGAGAGGAGATATTTCAGCTGTAGCAAAATGCTTCTTTCTAGAGAAGAGGTGGGGAACGATGGCCCTTTTATGACCTGTGGACTCCAATTCCCAGAATTCCTGATCCAGCATGACATGGCTGGCTGAGGAATTCCAGGAGTTGAAGTTCACAAGTCATAAAGGGGCCATAGTTCCACATCTCTGTTCTAGAGGTTCTGGATAGGAACTCGTGCTGAAGTCATGCTAGAAAGGCTTTGACAAGTACCTCAAATTCTCATGACCCCTCCTCTAGCCTACCTTTGTTGAGGGGAATGCAATTCAGGATGGGAAAAGCCAATTCCAGATTAACAAAGAGTAAGACAGATTGCAAGGATCATTTTCAGTGAGGAAAAAATGCATGATGGTGGTTTTTTATTGAATACCATGCTTCTGGCCAATTCAACTCCATGCAAGAAAGGGCAAGTTCATTGTATATTAGGAAAGGGCTGAAGTGGGGTGGAGTGGGCAATCATTTGGAAGTCGGGGACTACTATGTCTTTCCCCACCCCTAGTTATTTTCAAGAATTTGCAGGATTCTTTTTTTTTTTCGCCATGTAAATGTATACATTTGAACTAGACTGTGATGTTTCTCTGTGTCGTTTGTATGTGTGGGGTGGGTATATGCATAATGATATTTTTTGAGAGCTGAATGCAATGAAATTTCATTTTAATGTATGCTGATTAGTATACATTTAAAGTGACTATTCTATTCTACTCTACTCTACTCTACTCTACTCTACTCTACTCTACTCTACTCTACTCTACTCTATTCCATTCCATTTCAGTCCAATACAATGTCATACAGAATGACTGATTTCTCTCAACTTGAAGTATGAGCAAGTCAGCCTTTGTTCAATTTCAGCTCAAAAGATTCAGTGTGCCTGCACCTTATTTTTTTTTTAGCTTTTGAGATTAAAAGGTTTGGCTTGCAAAATTCCCATTTCGGTATCTTACTAGCACTACTGTGGTTTTTGATATTGAGTTCTTAAAAGAAATGCTGAATAAAAAATATGTGATCTATTTTCTGTCCCTATGTCTGTGCAATTCTTTTCCCTTTAAATAGTCAGGGAGCAACAGAACCTCGGCAGTGAATGCAATGGAGAATTTGTTTTTTTCTCACTATAGCAGGACAGAAGCTTTTTCACCAAATTAAAAAAGGTCATGAGTAAACTAGCAGAGGGCATGGCCAAACTGGAAGTCAGTGCAATGGCCTTCACCCTGGAATGAACCGATTTTAAAATTTCCATGATGATATCAGTACGCAGGTGATGAGAACCCCTGGGTTGAGTATTCTTCAACATACAAATATGAACAACCTCTCCCTATTAGTCATGGCACCTTCCCCCCCCCATTCAAAGTACAGAACAGATATTTTTCATGATGTTTGCAAATTAAGATACAGTTCCTATTTCCCTAGTACTTTTAACTTGCTTACATGTTATCTAACAGTTTATTAAATAAGCTTATTATCCATTTGTTTGTTTTAATATCAACTGTTGTTTAAAAAAGTAAAGCCGTTTCAAAACTTTGGGGAGATGCAGATGCAATAAGAAAAGAACACAATGTACTTTGTGTGCATTTAGTTTATTACCTATGAGACCGAAAAGTACAGCAAAGAGCAAAACAAGTAGATGTAGTGTCATGAACAGATAATTGTCAAAATGCCCCCAAATTTTACTTTTGATCCTTAACAGCCGACCTTTTGGGTCTCACCCTAAAAGAAGGCAACTCCTTATAGTCAGATTGTTCCAGAAACAGCCCTGCTGAACAAACTATATTCTTACTGATCAGCTGTATGGTGGAGAAAGGATGTGGAGTCTGTATTCAGATCCTTTGCTCTCCTTTTCAGATAAATGGTTGGCTTGTATCTGCTTATCAAGTTAATTAGAATACATAGCCTCATTTTCTGAATCCAGATGTGATTTCTTTTTTCTTTTCTATTCAACTACAACTGTATAGAAGTCTCTGTGCTGCATATTATAGCTCAATGCTCTGATAAGTCAGTGTTAGTTATCTTGGTATAAGGCTGGTCTTGCTAAAATCGGCACCACTCTGTAGCTTGTTTTGAAGTGAGTTTTTAAAGCAAGCACCTTTCTTTGAATTGTATCTATTTTGTTACTGTGATTATTACCCTACACCTTATAAGCTCCCCCTTTATTTGTTTGTTCTGGAGAAAAATACATTTATATCTGAAAGCAGAAATAGACAGACAGCTCTGCACTGAAAGAAAATACTTCAGGCACATGGGGGTTTTCCAATGGAATATTCTGCTTGGGATTCTGGAAGACTCAATTTCATTGTGTTTTCATGTTTCACCTTTTGTGTTATTGGCCATTGCACTGGACATCATGTGGCCAAAGGCATGTGTGTTTCACAAGCAGTATTGTCATCCCTCATTGGGTAAGATTTAGAAAGGTAGGTTCTGCGCATACAGAGTAAAATATAGGTAGTCCTGAACTTACAACAGTTCATTTAGTGACCATTTGAAGTTACAATAACACTGAAAAAGTGACAACCATTGCAGCATTCCCATGGTCATGTGATCTAAATGCAGATGCTCAGCTACTGATTCATATTGATGATGGTTGCAGTGTCCCAGGGTCATGTGATCAGCTTTTGTGACTTTCTGACAAGCAAAGTCAATGGGGAAGCCAGATTCACTTAACAACTGTGTTACTAACTTAACAACTGCAGTGATTCATTTAACAACTGTGGCACAAAAGGTTGTAAAATGGGGCAAAACTCACTTAGCAAAAGTCTCACTTAATTCCAAGATTGGAGTAATGCAGAATTGCAAGCTATGGTTACAGTTATTAAAAGCATGAAGAGAAATTTCTAAACTCTTCTTCCCAGATGTTCAACAGAAGAGAATGTGAAAAATGGAAACTTGCAAATCTGGGGAGAGTTCATTTTCATGTCATTGAGAATCATTGTTTGCCAAGCTAGCAAAGAGTGACATGACTTTGACTCCTTTAGCTAGCTTTACCCATATCTGTAGGAATCTACCTAACACCAAAATTAACATCAGACCAACAATCAAGAAGCAAGCAATACTCCAATCAAAAGACCACTCCCATAGTCACTAGAATATAAACTGAGAGCAGACCCCACCCCCTACTAGCACTGAAGATGCTACCTAATTTGGGTAATGAAACATCTTCAAGAAAACAACCAATATTGGAGAGCACCAATAACCCCTCATTTCAACCCTGAGCTACAAATATTCTCCTCTAACAAATCTAGATAAATTGTTGCTTTCCGTTGTTTGTGAAAGTTCTGTCTACTTCCCTTCCTACAATTTTACTTTGTATTAGTGGACCATTTGCAGACCTTAGAGGACTTTTCACTTTGACATTTGGTTTTACTGTCAGAGGAAATGGATATTTTAGTTCCTGCAGGTTTGCATTGACAGGATCCTCCGGCCTTCTCACTGCATTCCTTTCCTTGTTTTGCTGCCCTCTGAGAACTGCATGGGGAGTTGGTCACAGCTTGAAAGAAAACACATGGAATGGTTATTCATGAAACACCTTTTTGGGAAAAATAACAAACAGGCAACTTAGTACTTACAGATACTGATGGAACTTGAAGAATCTCTGGATATCCTGTGGAGAGAAGAAAACACTCCCTTTTTTTTCCGTGTTGATCTTCCGGGCTTGCCTTAACACTGTTTATCATCTTCATTCTTTCCTCAATAATAAATCCACAGCATTTATACCCATTTATGCAGAATACAAAAAGCATTACTCAATGTTTCATCATCTCTTTTGAAAATACCTTTGTTTGAAAGGCTATTTGAAGGATTTCTAAATACGTCTGTATTGTACTGTTACATATATTTGGAAGTAACTGGAATTCAGGCAGTGGTGGGATTCAAATACCTGAACATCTGGTTCTCTGCGTGGATGCAGGCCTGGGTCTCCGAGGCCTAGAATGGACTTCCGGAAGTGACATCCATGCACTTCCTGTGGGCTGTTTTAGGACTGGGAGGCCTCCTCCACACCTCTGACTTCTGGAAGTGACATCCATGCACTTCCGGTGGGCCATTCTAGGCCTGGAAGACCTCCTCTAGACCTCTGAGGCTTAGAATGGACTTCCAGAAGCAGCATGGGTTCAGCTGGTTCTCTGAACTCAACAAAATTTAACTATCGGTTCTACTGAACCGGTGTGAACTGGCTGAATCCCACCACTGAGTTTGGCCATATAATGCTTGGTGACAGGGATCCTATAAAGCTTGATCTAGAATAAATAAAATAAATTGACATAGGAGACTTACCTTTCTTCTTCTCCCTCCAACAAACTTTTGTAAGCTGCAATCTCAATATCAAGAACTATCTTCACATTCAGAAGTTCCTGGTAGTCACGTACTAGGCTGGCCAGTTCATCCTTGCCATTTTGAAGGGCCTTCACTAGTTCAGCATATTTCTGTTGACCTTCTTTGAAGGCTTGTTCACCTCCTTTGGCTGCCTCACAAACTGTCTTCTTGAGCTCTTCGTTCTGTAAAAGGGATATGATTGGACATGTTGTCACCTGCCTCTTAGTGCCACACACCCAGATTGCAGCCTTTCAACAAAAGTATCTGGAAAATTAGGGCTCATATCCTTCAAAAACATGGGTTAGAGTCTTTACTTTATTCATTCAATGAAAGAATAATGAAATCCATTATTCTAGTTGCCATTACACCTAATAATTCAGGCTTTGTCCTTCTACGTGTTATCTTCTTTTTTCCCCAGGAAACCCAATGGACAAAATATAACTTTTGGGGCAACCTGGGCAACCTGGCCAATCTTGTCCTAGACCTGGAAGTTAGTCAGCATTGAGTATTTCAGAAGGGAGACGATTAGGGAAACTCATAAGTGAAGATTGTAGACCATAGACTCAACTGGGAGATTGAAAACCATCCAGCGAAAAAAATCATGGCAAACACGTCATGTTATCTTGCCAAGCAAGCCATAGGACTGAGCTCAGGACTGAGAGCATCTTTATCAGAAAAAAAAAACAGATGTTGGTAGTTTGGACTAATGCATGTCTTGCATATGTTACTGTACAATTTCCTCCAACACCCAGAAACAACATACAAACAAACCTCACCATACTTTTAGCATATAGATACCAGTATCTTTATACCAACTGCATACTGAAAAGAGGAATGCAGGTATGTTGTAATCAGGGTATCGGGGATTATTATACCTGTGGACCATAAATATCCTATGGCTTGTAAAAAAATGCATATTCAAACAAAAACAAAAAAGTTCTATTTTTCACTTTAAAAGTCCATTTTTAAAAATGATTTAAATTTGTTACCATTTTCTGATCATGAGAAAAACTGTCAGTTTTAGGTCTGTTTGCAAAAAGTAGAGATTCAAGCTCTTCTAACCTGGCTTCATGTCTTCTTAATAGTTCACAACTAATGTTTGTAAAGCCCTTGCCTCTTTACTAATTACACATAACTAGTGAAACAAATCCAGATTTTGGAACTAAGAATAGTAAACACAAATAAGCTTCTTTACACAACGAGGCACCTTACATATACTCTATAGCAGGGCTTTTCAACCTTTTTACCCATTGTACCCCACTTTTAGGATATGGCAACATCTGAGTACCACCAGTCGCCTAGCAAGGTGTCAAAAACTTAATGACCTCCCAAAAGGAAAAAAGTGATAAAGTACAGGTAGTCCTCGACTTACAACAGTTCGCTTAGTGATTGTTCGAAGTTACAATGGCACTGAAAAAAGTGCCCCTCATGCCACAGCTGAGCAAGACAGTTCCCGGCGGCACTCTTCCTCCTGTCCAAGGTTTTCATTGTTGTGAGCATTTCTGTTGAGGATTGGCAGTGTGGGTGGGGTGGGGGGTGTTTGGTTTTTATTCCCCTCATCTGCTGGGTGATTGCAGCAGGTTTTGGTCAAATCACATGACCCCGGGACACTGTAACCATCATAAATATAAATCAGTTGCCAAGCATCTAAATGTCAATCACAAGACCCTGGAGATGCTGCAACATTCCAGCTGATCAGCGCTTCTTCTGGGCTCAGCAGAAGTACCAGGATCAGCGCTGAGCTCCAGCTGGATCCTGGCACTGATCCTAGTGCTTCCTCTGAGCCCTGACAGCCCCGAAGAAGCACCGATCAGCTGGAAAGCAGCACTGATCCTGGTGCTTCCACTGAGCCCTGACAGCCCTGCAGCTCCAGCCATGTCTCGCTCAGGCTTGTGCGGTGCTTCCATCAGTTCAGCTCATTCCCCTCTCCTGCTACTTTTCTAGAATGGTCGCGTACCACCTGCCAGGTGCCAATGTACCACAGGTGGTACCCGTACCACTGGTTGAAAAGCCCTGCTCTATAGTACTCATGTATGAATTGTACTATTGCTAATTTGAAATTTGAATTATTCTACCACCCCCAACCCCCCAGTTGTCTAATTTGCATTGCACCAGTCTTACCTCCTTCTGCAGACTCTGAAGTTCACACTGGACTTTTTCAACTTGTTGGATAAGTTCTGAAATCTGCTGCTCTCGATTCTTCAGATCCCATTTGTAACTAGAACTCTTACTTTGAGCCTCTTCATACTAAGGGTGTCAATATAAGACCTTTCTTTAAAATTATCACAATCATATGTTTACATTACAGCTTTTCCATGCTAATCATATTCAAAGTGGCTCATGACACAGAAAATAGTATAAGGCAATTTGCTAACAAAGTAATTTTTGGAGGGGAAACCTTTATAAATGCAAAGTAAGATTATGCAACCTGCTGAAATTTATATTTTTAAAGAGATTTTTTTTAAAAAAAAATAGTCCAAATCACTGCCAAAATAACTTATCTAACATTAATAATTGTAAGATGAATTCTGACGATCTCAGGTTGCCCTCATTAGCAGTCATTTTCAGCCAGTTAAAGATGAGACAGAGAGAAGAACTGGTGTCAGCTCTTGCAGGATTCAGTGTCTGATAGCTACTGTACATGGCTACAAGCAATGGAGTCCTACCATTTAGCGATAGATTGTTAGCCACACTTCTGCTGAGTATCTCTTATTGTTTGCCTGGGATGTCTATCAGTCTTACCTAATCCCTTTCTTCCGATAAATTAGTGAGAAAGTATACAAGTAGACAGAATGGAAAGCCATTCAATGGAAGCCATAACTCAAGAATTCCTGGTACACATACATTCTTTGTGGTGGTTACAGGATATTTACTGACATTAGGATCGTTCTGCTGCAACATTTGTTTGATTGAGGAACAAGAAAGAGCCAGACAGAGCAGCAAGAAGATGTTGAAAATTGAGGAGGATATGCCACTGCTGTCCTTTACAACAGAGGATGCTCTCCTGTCACTTATATCTGAGTAAAATTCTTCTGGTAGTTCAGGAGGCCTTTGTATGTGACATGAAAAGCAGCCCTATTGCTTATGAGCAGTGTCTCATACATTAAGAAGGTAGATTGGTAATCAGTCAGTAAGGAAGTCACAAACATATGCAAAGCTATGTTAAAAGGTTAGCAAAAGCGACAAGAGAAATAAGCAGGGAACGTCTGTGGCATTTCACTTACCAAGTATTGCATTTTTTTTTATCAATAGGTCTTTTTTTCTTTTTTCTTTTTAAAAAAGAACAAATAAAAATTACCAAGTTTTGCACTGATGTGAAATACCTTGTTTTGATAAAATTTATCTGCCTCCGCTTTACTTCTCTGCATAATTTCCTCATACTCTTTTCGGACTGTGGCTATGATGTTGTCCATGTCAAGGTTTCTACTGTTGTCCATTTTCACAACCACATCCACATCTTGATCTTGTTTGTCAAGCTGTTCTTTCTCCTAGGTGTTGATTCAAATACATTGTCAGTTCTGTAGCCTAGGTCAAGCAGTGATCACCTGAAGGAAAGAGGATCTCTTGAGTGGATCCCTCCCTACTTACCTTCTTATATACACATTTCAAGAACTTGATCTCTCGGTCCAGGAGACTGATTTTCCGCTCCAGCTCTGCATTATTTGAAAAAATGAAGTCTACAACCTAAACAGATGACGTTCTCGTATTACATTTTTTTTATGGGAGGATTTCCAAAGAAGGGGGGGGGGGAATCAGACTTCACTTAAACTATTAGAAGGATTGAAAGTTATTTTAAAAATTGCAATAAATAACAACAACAAATATCATGCCATGATTTTTAAACCCATTATTTGCAGGTTTCATGTCCCCGTCTGATGGCCCTTAAACTGAAGCTGAATATCTCCCTTTGTATACCAAGGAATTTATTCTATTATTTGCAAAAGCATCAAGTAGAAAATATGTTTTGTTTTTTGTTCTTGAGTAAAAATACTGTGCTGTAGAGGGCCCCCTTTCTTCTTTTCAGCTATTTATTATAATTAAACATATCATACAAATATTTGGAAAAGGTGGGGCAAATGAAATATTTTTAAATACACACCTAAAGTAAGATCTTGGGTACATGAAAGGGTGAGTCCATTTTTAAAAATTATTGCTATTTTCTTTTATATTTAATTTATTTCTATATTTATTTCTGCAGGGTTTTTTTTAAAAAAAACATTTGGATATGTGCTTTTAATTATTGAGTTTTATACTACATTTTCATAACATTTCCTATCAAAATATAAAATATAACAACATTTGTAATTGTATTTCATAGCTTCTGTGTTCACATCACATGCTAAATTTGTTTTATGCTTGATGTATAGAATTAAACCAATTACTTTGAACCACGATCTAAGGCAGGGGTGTCAAACTGCCGGCCTGCGGGCCGGATGCATCATAGCGAAACTGTGCCCACCCCATTGCTGGCAATGGCAAAAATGTCACGATACGTTGCGACACATCACATGATGTTGCGAGTTTGACACCCCTGATCTAAGGTATATGTTGCTGGTAGAAATTGGATGGTTTATACAGCATGTTGTGGCTCATAAAAGTCTGACCAGGATAAATTAACCAAGCTTAATGAGTTGCATAAATGAAGCTATTTGTAATAAGAAATCATTTTTTATTTTGGGAGGCAATGTTTTTCAGAACCCAAGAAAATAAAATAAAATGATAGGATCATATGGAATAATGGGAAGAATGTGAAATAAATGTACCATTAAATTGGATAGAAATAGTACTGTGTGAATAACAAACAAACAAAAAAAAAATCCATACACTTTACATTTGCAAAATGATCCTACTTAGTATTTGAATACTGATTCAATGTATAATTTAGAAGGTTTTATTAATCAGCATAGCTATTTATCTGTCACCTATTTTAAACATACTACTCCAAATTCACCATTGCAAGGATATTGCAATGCTATTATAGGATATATTATATTATCCAAAATATCTGGCTGATTATTGACACTGAACATATTCTTTTTTTCATTCTTGTTAAAAATTGACAGATTAGATTAACAGAACTGTATTGAAAAATAATGATGTTAGTAACAATAACATCTGAGAACCATTAGGGTTTTTTTTTTCAAATGTAAAATTTATCCCTTTGCTCATTATCTTGATTTTAATTTTTTAAAAAACTAGCTTCACTGTTGCTCTGCTTACCTTCCTAAGTTCTATAATCTCTTTCTCTGCTGCAGCATGCTGCTTGACTTTCTCTTCATATCTGGAAGGGGGGACCATCAAGAGTATAATAAGAGAGGGAGAACAGGACCATCAAGAGTATAATAAGAGAGGGAGAACAGTAAACACAGATGACATGAAATTATAGTCTTCCCAATGTTATTATGGTGGTTCCAAATGTTCCTATATGTATCACTCCTAAAATATCTCTGGGAAAGAAGACTGGGAAAATAAGCTTTGTCTGACATATTGGCAAATTATGGGCAGAGTAAAATAGAAGTCTTAGAATAGAATAGAGCTGGAAGGGACCTTGGATGTCTTCTAGTCCATCCCCCTGCTCAAGCAGGAGAACCTATACCATCTCAGACAAGTGACTATCCAGTGTCTTCTTAAAAACCTCCAGTGATAGAGCACCCACAATTTTTGAAAGCAAGCCATTCCACTGGTTAATTGTCCTCACTGTTAGGAACTTTCTCCTTAGTTCCAGGTTGCTTCTCTCCTTGATCAGTTTTCAGCCATTGTTTCTTGTCCTGCCCTCTGGTGCTTTGGAGAATAATTTGACCCCCCACTTCTTTGTGGCAGCCTCTCAAATACTGGATTACTGCTATCATGTCATCCCTATTTCTTTTTTTTTCTTTAGACTAGCCAAACCCAAGTCCTGCAGCCGTTCTTCATATGTTTTACTCTCCAGGCCTTTGATCATCCCATGCATGGAAACCTCAATCTTACTTATTCCTAATTAAAGGGAATATATAACAGGTGATGGAAGATTGTTTTTCCTAAATATATGGTTATTTGTTTGTTCTTTTAACAATAGTGGAATAAACAATTTAGTGCAATAAAACCCTGTTCCAAAGTTCCCATACAATTTCCCCAGCTCTATATGCTATCCATCTTCACATTCATCCCAAGGCATGCTTGATTCTTGAAATACAACCAGATGCCATTAATTTTCCTCCATTGCTTAGTGTCAGGACTTTTGCTAAAAAATTCTTGAGCTACCTTGGGACCAAAGGAAAAGGGAGCACTACAATATGAGAAATCTGTTTGACAAATTCAAGTAGATTAAACAATGATCTCCTTCTCAGAAAGTATCTTCATACATTTACTGCACGTGCTACATAGCCTGAATACATATAAAATGGGAATCAGACAGAGCAATCTTATACAGGCCTACTCAGTTGTAAGTCTCATTATTTTTGGTGAAGCTTGCTTCCAGGTCAACCCCTTCAGCATCATAAGAGACCTGGTGCAGTTTTGTTAAGGAGCACAAAGTCTATGTCAGTGATGGCAAACCTTTTAGAGACTGAGTGCCCAAACTGCAACCCAAAACCCACTTATGCATCGTTGGGTGCCGGGTGGGTGTGGCCCATTGGCTGGGTGTGGCCAATTGGGTGGGTGTGGCTGCAGTGGTAACGACAGACTGGGTGGGACTAAAAAGTTCAATCAATCAATTCCAACTTTGCAAGATCTTTTTTTCCCCGCGAGAAGTTGAAATTGACTGATTAATTGAACCTTCTTTTTGTTTTTTTTGCAAACAGCAGCGGAGGCCTAAAGCGAAAAGGTTTTATAAAACCTAGCTGAAGGCCTAGGACTGGGGCGATGGTGCGCGTGCCCACAGAGAGGGCTCTGAATGCCGCCTCTGGCACCCGTGCCATAGGTTCGCCACCACTGGTCTATGTCATTTTTTATCTTTTCTGCATAATTCAAGAGGAACTCACTTGCACTTGAAATCTGCAGTTTGTGCCTTTGCACTTTCACGATCACTTTGCAGGTTCTCCTTCTCATATTGCACATATTCCAACTCCTTCTTCAGGCTTGCAATGTATTGTTCAAACAAACGCTCTAAGTTTTCAGTGGGTGGTTTGGTTTGCTGCTGCAGGAAGGCCCATTTAGTTTCTAGCAGCTGGTTCTTCTGTTCCAGGCACTGCACCTAAAACTCAAGGTAAAATCCATCCATGAACCATCAGTACATTAAAGCAATCCATCAATCAAAGCGGAAGTTCTGCTTCATAAGATCCTTTGCAATTCAAGCACCATTTTAGCAATCCAATCTAACAAAGATGCACAATGTACTATTGGGTTGATAAATGGATAATCCAAATGGAAGCCAGAGCCAAAACAGGAGTAATCTAGATCAGGGGTCCCCAACCCCAGGGCTGTGACCTGGTACAAGGATGTGACCTGTTCGGGACTGGGCAATGCAAGTTGCTTGTGAGCATGCACACGTGCAGCTCCATTTGTGTGAGTGATGGGTTTGCATGCCTGCTGCTCATGCAAATGGAGCTTTGCACATGTGCATACGCACTTGCTGCTTACACAAAACCATCCCCTCCTCCCTCTCCCCTCACCAGTCTGCCAAACTGGAAAGGTTGGGGACCACTGGTCTAGAAGGTAGAAGAAAAGGCTGAAAGAACAGAGTTTGCTCAGTGTAAATTAAACTATGGCAGGGACACGGCACAGCAGTTGTTCTCAAGGTTTCAGACTTGAATATTAATTAGCCCAATAAAGTTACTGGCTCATAAACAAAATACTTAATAGACCTTATAAGTTGGTTCAGCTTGTTAACTTCCATAGAAATAATATTTTTAACATGGACTTTTTCAAATATATTTTAAAAGATGTCAGGAAAAGAGGAAGAATAAATATTCATTCCAATTTCAAAGTAGTTACAGGAGGTTATGTAAGGCTTGGATTTTAGCAGTTTACCTCAAGTGAGCACTATGACTGGGTGCAGAAGATAACCAAAAATGAGCAATGAGCATTACAGAACAATATTTGGACAAAAACAAGTACCATGATGGCAAAATAAGGATTCTTAGTGCAACAGTAATCTTGAAACGAAAACATAGGATCAACCTAAAAAAAATGTGCCAAATTTTACAAGCAAGCGTAGTTTTATCAGCAGCACAGTAGAGTAAGGAACTTTAAACCTTTAGATTTGAAAGTCTCACCTTATCAATGAAACCAGCAAATTTGCTATTAAGGGACTTCATCTGCTCCATCTCTTTGCATTTTACTTTCTGGATCTCAGGGGAGATACTGACATGGAAAGGTTCCAACAGCTTTGGATCAACATGTACTCCCTGGATGCTGTATCTCCTTGGTGCTGCCTGGATTCCAGTTCCACAGGTGCCACTCTTGTGATCTCCACACAGGGATAAAGTTGTCCTTCCTCCAAAGTTAGACATTTTGCTGCTGCTCTTGGAGCCAGAATGGAGCCAGGAGCTTGAGCTGCTTGCGCTATAGTGGTTAAAGGGGCTTTGCGCATTTCGTTGGCTGCCTGCTGAAATCTGACGACTCATGTTGCCTTGCTCTGATGGAAGGGGCTGCAGAGAAGAAGGGTAAAGATCTGGATATGAGACACCTCCAATGGAGACTTTTGAGTTGGCCTCCCTTTTATGCGTTTGAGGATCTAGGCTTGGTTGCATGAGAACATGAGGATTCATGTGGTTGGAATGCCTGCCAGCCAAATGAGATCTTCAGGAAGCTAAACTGCTGGTAAACCAAAAAATAAAGGTTGAAATAAAAAAAATTGACTTGCAAAGAAAGATGAGAAGATATTGTTTAATTAATTTCCTTTCTAACCCTAATTGGAGTCTAGTCCAAACCATTCTCCCCCAAAAGAACTTCATAGAATGATGATAATATCTGTGGCTCTTTTTATATTATGATGGGAGAGGACAGTTCTGTGTATGATCCTGTTAGATCAAAGGTATGGATCAAATTGTTGACAAACTAAAAAATAATCCATGAAAAAAATCTAGGCCAAAATGGAAGTCCATAGCAAAACAATAATTATCCAGTAGTAATTATCCAATTACTCAGTAATTTTAAGATTTGTCAGGCTTTTGTACCAAAAACCTTCTTTTGTCATGTGTTCCATCTACTCTCTACAGTGCATTTTGAGTCCACCAATACAGCTCCTTCAGACAACCATGGAAAGAATGAAACTTTCTGTGTGCAAACACCAAAATGTTAAATATGAGATAATGTAGAAGCTATACTCTTGTACTGCTATCAATGTATAACAACGAACATTAATAGGAAAAATGGACAGGTACAGGTAAGGATGAGGTAGTGTAATAAGAGTTACACGGAGACCAAGGACATTCTAATGTACACTCTAATATTAATTTTAACCCATATTTCTACACTTATTTTCAGAATTTCCTTCCTCCATCACTCCATTAGTTCAAATCCATGATAGCTGACAGGCTCTTAAGTTTACTCTCAAGGCTTAGAGAAGCTAAGTGTGGTCCAACTTTTAGGAAAGTGACCCCTTCAACCAGTGAGGATTCTTACAAAGAATCACACAAGATTTATCAGCAGTAATAAGCACAATAAAATAATTAGCAATAAAGAAACAAATATTGAACAAAAACATATCCTGATAATGAATCTTATCAATCTGATTCTTATGAAATATGTCATTATAGTCTATGACCTATACTAGGGGTGTCAAACTCACAACATCACATGATGTGTTGCGACGTATCATGACTTTTTCTCCATTGCTGGCAATGGGGTGGGCGTGGTTTCGGCATGATGCATCCGGCCCATGGGCCGGCAGTTTGACACTCCTGACCTATACAGTAAATAGTCTTTACTGAAGACATACAGTAGAAAATCTGCTAAGCCACTTCATAGAAAGACCCTATAGTTAGCAAGTGAGGATGAGAGAGAAATTCCTATGTGTTCAGTTCATGCTGTTTGTTTTTTTAGTCCTGCCAATAAATACTACTACTACTACTACTACTACTACTACTACTACTATTAATAATAATAATAATAATAATAATAATAATAATAATAATAATAAAGTTGGAAGGTACCTTGGAGGTCATCTAGTCCAACCCCCTGCTCAGGCAGGAAACCCTAAACCATTTCAGACAAATGATTGTGCAGTCTCTTCTTAAAGACTTCCAGTGTTGGAGCATTCACAACTTCTGGAGGCAGGTTGTTAGTTGGAGGAAGTACTTAATTTCCAGTTTATTAAAAGGATGGCTTGTCTGAATAGCTTCTCGCCCCCTATTTAAGATCAGCTGAGAGGTAGGCAGATGGTTGCAGAGGGAAGACTGCACCAGTTTACCTTTTCATTGGTACCCTTCAAATTCCCTGGTTCACTTGCCTTGACTTTTAAGATCTTAAAAAATAAGCAAACAAAAAGAAAATAATTACAGTTACCTGGACTGCTGCAAAACAAAGCATTAGCTCCTTGCATGATCTTGGGCTCCATATAGATTTTGTTTTAGCCATTCTTACAAAATGACTGGGTGTGATCAGTGCTTTATCTGGAGATTTAACTATCTATATTGACCAAAACAAAAGTACAAATGTTTTTTTATTGTACATAATTATGTTCGCTGTGGCACCCTGATATTGCTCTTTGCCGCATGCTTTGGATTGGGAAGATAAATTGATTTTTCTTAATATTTTCCAGGCAAGGCCTTGAAGCTCTATTTTCTTCTGCATAATCCATAACAACTCTAATGTCTTGAACTTTTTCAACTGTTCCAAGCTTTATCCGAATTTTGCTATATTGGTTTTAAGCTCTTGCGTCTTACGTAGTTTCCCAACTTAGCACATCCAGAGTTATGCATTTCACGTCCAATCCTACAAAATAAATTGAATTGAATTAAATCTTACTATATTAATATTGGATAATTGATTCATTAGTTCCTTTATGAGCTAATCCTGCAAATTACTTTTTAAAAAATAATATATGTAATGTGGTGGATTTGGGAAGCTGTCATACTAGCAGGCAAACACTGTAACATTTGATAATTCCTTTGATTTAAACCCAAAGAGATTCTTTGAGATGTCTTTAAACAGTTTTCTGAATCATCATTAATTTTCACCACCATCAGTCATCTTCCTTAGTTCCAGCATCTTAGTCATGAATGAACCAGCTGTATTAGAATTTACAACAATAGCATAGCACGCTTCTACAGGAAATTGACACTTATTCAAAAGTTATGATGGCAGAAAAAATAGCTCTGCAACCCATTCTCACATTTATAACTATCACAGCATCAACAGCTATGTGGCCATCTTTCATGTGCTTTGCAACTGGCTTGCAACAAGCAGAGTTAAATAGAGAAGGTGGAGATTAGATCGTAAGCCACAGTCATGTGATGTTTCACTCAACAACCAAATGGGAAGGTCGTAAGCCCATTGTGGTCACATGATTTTTCCATTTGGTGACCACAGCACTTAATGATGCAGTGGCTGATCCCAGTTGTGACTGCTAAGCTAGAGCTACCTATATTTTATTAGCATAGCAGGGAGAAGCTGGCCCTTTAAATCACAAACCAACCTTAAATACCTAGAGGGAGTCACATGACCTCTGAGAGCCAAAAAAGGAAAAGAAGGGTGTTCTGTGAGATGTTGGGTGGAATGCAGTTTGAGGGTTCTTTGTGAGAGCCGATGGAGGGAGGAGATCATCTGGAGGGAGGAGGTCATCTCAGCCCGGAATGGGACAGCTTGCCATGGCCATTTCTTCACACTCAACTAACCATGGCCAATGCACTGCAGCCAACTCACCACAGGACAACTTGCCTAATCATTACCAGGAGAACTTGCTGCGGATAATTCAACAATTCAATTTAATTATTTAAAATATTTTTTTTATTGAAAGTTTTTGAATTTTACAAAATAAATCCCTTCCCCAAACCCCCCACCCTCCCATACCCTCCCCCCTCTCCCCAAACCTCCCATACCCTCCCTCAACCTTCCCAGAGCTGAGTACAGGCTTAATTAAAATTTTTCAAAAAAGATAAATAAAAAAACTTAAAACACATATAAATCCAAACAAATCTAAATACCTTAAATTAAACAAATTGTCTTCTCACCAAAACACCAATTTGAACATTACTTTCTTTAAATATCTATACCTACACTATAAAATCTAATCTAATCTCCCTCTTTTTTTACTCTAAAACACAAAAATAAGCATATGAACATTCATTATACCATTAGGACTGGATACTCATTTAATTAGTTAAACTAAATACTTATATCTAAACTTCTTATCTAAAATTTAATTAAACAACTTAACTTCTCTTAAGAATAATTAATAAAAAAAGAAAAGAAACCAATTTTTAAACAAACTATAGTATACTCTAAACCCTTTCCATATCATTTATATTATTATCCATCATTTTATAATATACTCTAAACCTTTTCATAAGACATTTTCCAAAAACATTATAAATTTTACTTCTCCCACAATCTCAATAATCTTCTAAATACCTAAACAAAATACTTAAACTTAAACTTCTTATCTAAAATTTTCATTCAGTCTCCATAATCTTCTGTCCAATAGCCGGTTGCGTCCAGTATAAACACAATCCTTATCAGTCTCTCTTGCCCATAAGCATCGAAAGAAATGCATTAAAATCTGCCCTTGAAGATCACTCCAAGAAATTTGTAAGTCCTGGTTCTCCCACAAACTCAGGAACCAATACCTGTGAAACTTCCTCAACCTCCTTCTTCTGTTGGTCTTTCTCTTTACGTTTACATGTTGCTTTTTCTTTACATTTATATGTTGCACAAGTCTCAGGAACCAATACCTGTGAGGTTTCCTCAACCTCCTTTTCTATACGTTTATATGTTGGACAAGTTGTCTTCTGGTCTTTCATCTCTTGTGGAACTTCCTTAAGCTTCTTCTGTTGATCCTTTTCTTTACAGTTATATGTTGCACAGGTTATCTTCCGCTCCTCCATCTCTACTTGTTGAGGCCTCCCATTTTTAATTAATATAGGCTCTTCAGACTGCAGTTCTAGCATTAAAGATTGCTCCAAAGAATTTATAAATCCTACTTCTCCCGCAGATTCAGGAACCAATACTTGTGGAACTTCCTTAAACTTCTTCTGTTGATCCTTTTCTTTACAATTATATGTTACACAGGTTGTCTTCTGTTCCTCCATCTCTACTTGTTGAGGCCCCTCAGACTGAAATTTCCCAATTTTCATAATTCTTAACACTTCTGACTGCAGTTCTACCTTTTTTTCTTCCCAAGCTTTAAACATGATAGGTGACGATGAGCATACCCCCAGGACCGAAGTATAAAAATCTTTTGCTTTAGAAACAGTATTAAGACTGTAACGTATCCCCAGGTAGCTCACCACCATTCCAGTCGGAACATCCCATCTAAACAAAATTTGTCTCCTTTTAAGTTCATCTGCTAAAAAAGCAAACTCCTTTCTTCTTTTTAAAATTTTTGGTGGGATCTCCTTTAAAATTATAACATCTTGTGAAGCAATTTGAAACCTCTTCTTATAAAAAGCTTGTATAATTTCATTGCGCAGGGATCTTTTCCCAAAGTAAATTACCACATCTCTTGGCAAATTCTTTTGCTCTGCCACCACAGAGTTAACTCTAAATGTCTGATCAATTCCACTAAGTATTTCCTCTTCTTCTCTGTTCAGAATCACGGCAAAGTTCT